AATGAATTCTATGACCATAGGGAGCATGTAAAAAGTTGGTGTTTTTGTCCAAAACGTCCATATAGCACCATAGCTGCTTGGCGTATTATGCATACACCACTATATACTAAATACTATACTAAATATGTTGTCGTATTTGTGGCAGCCATCTTGAAATTAATGATACCCACATCAAATAAGTGTATCTGTAACGTTAGGATTTGTAAATATATTTTAGAAAAAAAAAATATGCTGAAATATGTTGAAAAGATCAAGTTTTTTCCAATTTTTGGTTAAAATTAGCCATTTTGGCGGCCATTTTGAAAAAAAAAAACCCACTTCCCCTAGCTATGTAGATTTCTAGATTTTTAATGTTCATACAGGGACCTTAAGAAAATGCACTGTGCAAACAGAAATTCTGTTGCAATTTTTTCAACACTAAGATGTATTTTTTCTTGTACTAACAGTGTGATTAGCAATACATGAAGAATATTGCTCAACATAGGGTTACACGTAAAGGACAATTATGTAATAAATGAATTAATGCCTTTATATATGAAAATTATGGTAACTATTTGTGTGGTCCTCTGGAATACCTTGTGTAGTACACAAAAATAATGAAAAACAACCCGATATTGTAAGGAAGCTGGATTTTTATAGGATTCTGGTGATATTTTCCATTCTGCAAAACAGAATAGGACTAATATAAGGGAGCATTATTACTTACATTTCCAAAAGTGAGTTAGCGCACCACCCTAAAATATGTTATTTTGGGTTTAAAAAGTCAACAGCTGTTATTACATTCATGTTTTGTAATTTATTTAGGGTACTGAAGCTGCTGTTAATTTGTTCTTTAATTTTGGCCGCCATTTTAAAAAGCGCCCTCAATTGCCTCTCGAAATCTTCACCTTAATAACTTTAGCTAATTATACTTTACTCCTATCATTAGGCCCCTACATATTCAAAAGTTGGTCAAACCTACCTCTTCTGTGCTTATTTTATACATATATGTAGTTTATTGAATTTTGGCGGCCATTTTGAAAAAAGCGCCCTCACGCGAAAGTTCTCAGGTTACGCCCTTTTTACCTCGGATATTCTGATTCCCCATAAAAAACTGGTCTAGAAAAACCATATGAGAATTTCTACCTCTCCAAGTGGCACCTATCTCAATTATAGCCTGGTCTATTAGGGATCCATGTGAGGCTTAAAATCCCTAGCTATCCAATCAGAAAGGAAAGCTTCAAAGATCCTACCAAAGATCTCTGAGACAGCAATTAAATATTCTGCACAGAGTGGGAGCAAGCTCCAAAGAAAATTCTTTGATTAAACGAAGCGGTATATCTTGAGGATGACAGCATTTATTAACATTAATCGCCTTTAAAAGTTTGTAAACCTGCCCAGTTTATATGACAGGGGGCTTAAAGGTGGAAAGAAAGGCTGGTAATTTTTGTAGATTAAGTACTGGTAAGTACGAACAAATACTAGCAAAATGCTTATTACATTAGTGTCACAACCGGGCTCAAGTAATAAAGATTGGTGTATCAATCGTCCAGAAATCTTCTGTACCTTATTGTGCCACTTACGAGGCTCATTTTTCTTTAGAGAAGCAATAGATTTTTTGTAGAAAGAGGATTTGGCCAATTAAATCTCATAACGTACTAACCTTCTATAATGTCGGTATTGCAAATCATTGCTTTTTCTGTATGCACAATGTAGGTGATAGCCCTGGTTTAATCATCTCCTGAATGCGAACAAATACTGAAGGCAAAGAATTTGTATAGGTATCAATACACTTTCCAATTTACCAGTGAGGTACTCGGAATCATTTCCGTTTAAGCGAATCAAATCATCCCAATCCATCCCATAACTTGACCAAAACACCGCATACACGAATCCTTTAGAGGGCGATGTTCAACTATCTTCCTTTTTATATCCTTTTTTTGAAAGTTACAAGGTTCATATAAAATGGAAGCATGGTCACTACGACCTAAAGGAGGGACTTGGAGTGGAAATTGATAAAGATAAAAATATTAGTTAGAATTTTATCCAGACAGGTGTTCTCGCGAGTTAGAAAACCATTAACCTGGTCAAGAGAAGTGGTCAATTAAGGGTTAACATCATAATTAATCATTGAAGTCACCTATTATCAAAAATGAGGCATCATCTCTTAAACTTCAAAAATTATCAATTTTAGAACACAAGAATTCCGTAAGCAGCTGATGCTGGTTACAGTTTGGGGGATAATAACAACAATAGTGAGAATAGAAGAAGTATGGCTGACCATAACATTTCATTAATATGTAACTCTACACCACCACCAATGCGATTACCTCATCTTTTCGAATACATGAGTAACCCTCAACTGCTGAACATTCAGTAGTAAAATTAGAATGGAACCAGGATTCTGATACCTGCAATACCTATATTGCTGTCCCCTATATAAGTTCAAACTCACTCAACTTATTACACAAAGGATGTGCATTGGCCAATTATATGCTAGGTTGAAATTTCCTAAGTTTAACCAGGTAGGCTAGTTACCACAGTAACTACAGTTTGGTAATTCCAATTGGTTTTCAAACTTGGCAGTATATAAAATAGTAATTAGAAGACAAAGCCTATTGTTTTTGGTACATGTATGAATATGCTGATTATTTATGTGCCTAATTAATATTTCACTAATTAGGTAATTTTGGCTAAAGTTTGGTTAAGTCTTATTGATTTAAAACTTGGTAGATTGCAAGATGGTAATTAGAAGACAGAGCATATTGTTTTTTGTACATGTGTGAATATGCTAATTGCTCATTTGCTTAATTATTATTTCACTAATCAGGTAGGCTAGTTAACATAATAAGTAAAGTTTGGTATTAAGTCCGATTGGTTTCAAAGTTGGCAGAATGTAAGATAGTAATAAGAAGCTGTAGCCTATTGTTTTTGGTACATGTTGTAGGATCCAAACTACACATAATTGTAGAGAGCGTAATAAACTTCAAACACGGTAAGTATAGTAACACAATTGTAGCATTTATTCAATCGCAATATCTGATTTTAAATTCCGATTCAAATTTCCGATGAACTAATGAACTGATAACCAGTTTAAACTGTAAAGTAAAACAATATATAAGCATGTGAATATATATAAGAGTTCTATGTATCTATATTAAAGCATTATACTATAGGCCAGGACATTACCCTTGGCAGATATATCTAAATTTAGCATCTACTACTATAAAATGTCGTCATTCAACAATGTGCTCAGTCAAGCGTGATGGACATAAATTGTGACCCATTCGCTTGCCCACTGGACGAGCGAGGCTTATAAACATTACAATGCATATATGCGCTAATTATACGCGCTACTTGCATGTACAAATATATACTAATAAACATTATCCTAAATGCATTTAAGCCTACAGTATATCATAATTCAAAGTACTAGGTAATGATTTTGTTAATACAATTAATCGAAACTATTCCAACAACTTGAATTTAGATTAATTTAAATAAACAATAATTAAACTACAGTCGTTTACCGACTGCAGCTCTGTGTTATTTTAGGTACACTCTGAGCTAATACATTAAACTATCATTCAATAATGATAATGGAAGATTATATATTTCTAAATTACAAACTTTATTATTAAACTAACAAATAGTCCACAACAATAATGGCTCTTAAACAAAAAATATAAACTTGTCTTATGTGTGGGTTATATGCCAAAATAATGAAGAATTGAAAATATAAACTTCCTTAAAGGGTATAAAGTAAGCTAACTATGAAATGATTAGGTGTGGCCAACTTAAGGAATTGAGGCCACTTTGAGCATTGCATTTGTCATAGCTTAGGAATTTGGTATATTATAGCCAGGTGAGCAGGGAATGATGTCTTAAACAGTGGTTAGTCAAAGTCAAGCTCAAAGTCAACACTGTGATAATTTTTGGTCAAAGTGAATAGGGCACAAATCTTGTCCAGATAAATTGAGGGCGCATTATATTGATTTTAGCCGTGCTCATTTGCATAATTATTATTGAAATTATAGAATATCTGGCAATACAAATTACCCGATAAAAGTCTTGATTCCGAGTAAGCTACTGTAGTAGAAAGAAACAGTGAGAAGAGTAGCATGTGCAAGTACTGTTGGAAGCAGTGCTTTCATTTCAGTATTAAATTTGCTATTATAACGCCACCATATGATTAGCATAACAGCAAGTTTAACCATTATATGATGAGGTATGTTGTTGAACGTACCGTCAAATTGACGAGTACCACTCTTCTATTAAAAGGGTGTTCCCACTTCCATTGATTGGATGATATTGAAAACCATGAGGAAATTCTATATGCAGCTGTGAGTACGAGGCAATAGGCTCCAGTCGAGCAGTTTAGGTGACTTAGATAGGCCTACGAAAGTAGGCTAAAAGTTTAAAAACTAACAATTATTAATTTAACTATTCCAATGAACTGTAACAATTAACTAGAAACCAAAGTAGGCTAAAAGTAGGCTGAAAGTTTAAAGCTAACAATTATTAATTTAACTATTCCAATGAACTGTAACAATTAACTTGAAAAATTAAGGTTGGTGTATAATAGATTGTGGCTAAAGATGCGCTAATTTATTTTTAGTTTTTGCTAGGGTATGCACTGCATGCTTGCCTTGACAGTCAGCCCCTGTTCTTTGTCAACATTTGAATACCAATAAATATTATAACAATTTTTTTTTCTTTGGCAGTATTTCTTACATTGATAAAAATGATAATGAATGTTTTATAATAATTGTCTAATTTTGATTCTCAGATTCTTCTTTTGCGAGTGAATTTGATGAGCGGGATTTGGAACGTTTTGGCTATGATGACTGGTGGGTGTATAATTTCTTTCTCCTAGGAAGAAGCAAAGTTGATATGGCTCTGCAGAAGATCACAAATTCTCTTCGCTGGCGAAAGCAATTTGGAGTCAATGGTAATTAACATTTGCCTAATAACAAACAGTGTTTGAAATGTTTCCCTTAATGTGAAGCATCATCATCAGGTTTTAGTAAATTGTTTCAGGTTGTTTATGTGGAAGCAGTTTGGCGCATTGGGAACTGTTTAGTTTCCGAAGCTTGAGGTTTGAATCCCTCGCTGTGCATTTCGCTTGTGTCCTTGAGGAAGGCACTTTATCTTCATTGCTTCTCCCAGGAGTGTAAATGTGGGGTTGCCTACTCCTGCACTGATTACCATCAGCAACACTTAAAACATCTGGACCCAATGACCAGGGAAAAGAAAAGTTGCGCTTTATAACCTCCTGTACCACTTGTTGGTTCTCTTTTATTCTGCATTATTATTTTGTTGTTATTGCTGGAGGTTGTGGGTTCGTTCCATCCGAATCACTTGCAAATTTTTTTCGCTAGTATTTGGGAACATACTGAGATAAAACTTTAGGTAGGGCAAAACATCACTCCTATGTTGCAATTTTGCTGGCTTACTTGAAGTACTACTTTTTGTTTACTTTTAATTGGCAGATATCACAGAGGAGAGCTTTTCTATTGAAACACACCAGAAGGGTGCAGTATACCCACATGGTAGAGACAAAGAAGGCCGTACTATATGTAAGTATTACCAAACCAACCAGTTTTTTGTTTTTGTGTCTACAGACCGATGGGGGTCCATAGGCACTTAGCTATTGTCTACAGACCCATGGGTGTCAGTAGACACTTAGCTATTGTCTACAGACCCAGGGGATCTGTAGACACTTAGCTATCGTCTCACTTGAAAGAGTCATAGGTAAAGATAAAAGTGAACAGTTTTCCAACAGAAGCCTATGAAATATGATGCCCATGCCTAGATAAGACCTGTCAAGAAAGAATTAAAAAGTCAACAATCTGTTACTTAAGTGTACAGATTCAAGTGACACCTGTCCCCTCGTCAGGGGCATCGGATGCCCAGCCTGGGGCCCTGGACCCACATCGGCAAATCCTGGCGCCACCCCTGCTAGTGTGTTGTCATGAAACAAAACATGGAACTGACAATTCCCAACAATACATCATTGGACATGTGCAAACTAATTCTCTTATCTTAAATTGATTATGTAATCGATACGGCAGTACCATTGGTTATAACATTTGATATTGGATTCAAGACTTCTCCATGTAATACGACTGCTCCCTTGTTATAAATATCGGCTATACACATTTTATCTTTTATAAAAATTGTTATGATGCGTGAGATAATACCACGTAGGCGTGAGACGTAAAGAGGGATGTTCTTGCGCGAGACATTCACATTGTGCGTGGGAGTTGGCAGGTGTAGTATCCATACAACGTCAAACAGGAAATAACAGTATTTTCGTTGACATATAATAACCATGTTTGTGGAGCTTTTTTCTATAATGAATTTATCTGAAAGTAAAATAATAACACTGTGGTTAACGATTCACATATTAGGAGAACTATATTAATGAGTAGTTTCTGTCTTCTTCTTAGTGTGGTTTGATGTGAAACTGCATAACAAGAAAATACCAGGCAACACAGAGCTTGCTAAACGATACCTAGTTTACTGGCTAGAGAAGCTCCAACGCCAGTACCCATCACAACGAATTACAGTACTAGAGGATATGTCCGCTGCTGGTGTTTCTAATATGGTGTGTAAGCCTATTCAGAGATAGAATAGGAGGGTGTATTAGGTTACTCTAGTAGGAAAGAATCTTCAAATTTAGTGTTTTGTCTTCCTTTTGTTACCATATATCTATCCTGAGCTTTTTGGAATACTGTCAGTGTGGGGAAAGCATGGGTGAGGAAAGAGAAGAATTGTTCAATTGCATTAAATAAGTGCAATTAAGAATAAATTAAATAAGACTTTAATGACTTTAGGCTCTTGGTTCAGTTTACAATCCTACATTGTATTATCTTAATCATTTGGCTTATTTAAACATCTTAAACATCCTATTAGTGGTTGCTGACCTTTGAATTAAATTTGACAACCATCACTTGACCACATTGGGACTGCCAATTTATTATGATTATCGTGAGAAAGCAACACGTCCCTACATATGTTTGTATAAGTGTACAGGTACATATATATGATATTGAAGGAAGTTAGCTGTTAACTTTAAACACAAGTCAATGCTGATAAAAGAGACAGTAGAAACTAAGAAATATTTTTCTAAAAAATATGATATGACATACACTTGTCCTGTAACACTAATTTTGGTTAATTTAACCAAGTGTAGGTGTTTACCCTGCTAAATAAAATTATGCTTGTAGTGTTATTTTAGCATTCGTTCTTCGTTTGTTTGTTCGTTCGTTCTCGTACAGACATTCAAAACACATACAATTAAAAATAACAAGAAGAAATTATTAATTTGCAAGGTAAACATCTACACTTGGTTAAATTAACCAAAATTAGTGTTACAGGGCAAGTGTTGTCATATCATATTTTTTAGAAAAATATTTCTTAGTTTCTACTGTCTCTTTTATTATTTTTTAGGATCTTGAAGTTGTGAAGTTCAAGATACGTTGTTTTGAGGAGTATTTTCCATTCCTAGTTGGTAAGTTCAGGCATTTCAAAAGTTTTGAAAGTAGGAGGCTAATAACCTGAAAAGTAGTAGGTGCACCATTTATCGTTGAAGTTCAGAGTGGGGGGAGGGGACGTGGTCAGGAAAACTTTTTTTCTAGATGCCTGGAAATGAACTCGCCTGCATTATTGGAGATCTGTTTATGGATATATATTATTAAGCAAAATAATGTTCCTTTTTGAAAGATTTTTTGGTTTTATTTAGCTGGTCAGAATGTTGATTTGTACCATATTGTACTAATATAACAGACATATAATACAAAAGTAATAATTGGTAATAAGTGAATTTTATTATAAAAAAAAATTCCAAAATGACTGTTATCATCATGACATACTGAAGTACATTAAAACATTTATTTTCTGCAAGGTAGGTATTTATGGTAGTAACAGGCCTGGAGTTCTGTTTCACATGCTGTGGAAAATAATAAATAGAAGTATATAAAGGTACTTGTTTCATATCATTTGTGTGGTTGCTCCTGGATATAATCAGCTACAACATTATCATGAGTTGGAATCTGAAAAATAACAATATAAGACAAATGAATAAAAGCATCACTAAATACATTTTTGGACAAATCTGGCTATGCCTGTATCAATAATCCAGTGAAAAACTTATATAATGTATTTAATTATTATATTTTTATAATTATTATTATTATGTATATTGTAATAATCAAATCATTGCAATATGTATAAGCTTATATAAATTAATAATTGAAAAGAACAATCCTATATAAGTATCAGTAATTAACAATTCTACCAATATTTAATTACCTTTTTTGAAATGGCCCTCAGCCAATGTTTCAGCATGTGGCTGGACATCATCTTCAGCTACATGATCATCATGATTGCTGAAATCATCATCTGGAAAAAAATCAATAATTTTTTTAAAGCTATAAAAAATACCATTACCAGTAGTAATTACAGTACTCCTGGTAGACAAGCCTATAAGATAGGCCAGTAGTTAAATTACAATTGTCAGTCGGCCTCTGTCATGTGACATGTTTGTTATTTTGTTTTGCTTAAATCTATCATAAGATTTTATTAAGTACCGGTACAATTTACTATGTATGGTGAAATAATTCTTAAGTAATCAATGTAAAATAATAAATGGTTCATCATTAATTCATCCCTCTCACCACAAACCTCGGAGTCAAACTGAATGAATCTCTTAACATGCAAAACCATATCAGCTGTATAACTAAATCGGTCAACTTCCATCTTTGTAATGTTGCACTCATTCGACGCTTTCTTTCTTCCATTATTCATGCTTTAGTCTCATCCCGTCTTGTTTACGCACTTCCTAAATCTCAAATTTACAGACTCCAGAGGCTTCAAATCTCGCTGCTCGAATTATAACATTCACAAAACGTTGATCTCACATTACCCCTGTTCTCTGAGAACTCCACTGGCTTCCCATTGATTCCTGCATTAAGTTCAAGATCTTGCTACTTACTTTTAAAGCACTTCTATTTAAGCAACCTATCTATACACATCAGCTTACCCACATTTATGTTTCTGGACACACCCTAAGATCATCTGATAATTTTTTGCTATCCGTTCCCTGCACATCCTTAAAAACTATTGGCCATAAATCTTTTTCCTTTGCCACACCTACACTGTGAAATTCACTCCCTGCACACATTAAAAACTGTTCTTCTGTTGTTTCATTTAAAAAATTACTCAAAACTCACCTTTTCCATCAAGCAAATCCATCTACCAAAACACTTGATTGAAGAAGTATCTCCATAAAATGTTTGTACACATTGTAGTATACTAGGGCCAAAATTAAAAAAAGTCTATTCCTTTTGAAATACACGTTATTAACCCCTGCTTTTGAGAAACTGATAAACTGCCAGTTCTATATGCAGAATTTAGTGATTTTACTCAAAAATTTTCCAGATCGTTCCAAAAATGTTTAAAAATTCTGTTGGGCTTTGTTCATTTTTCATGCACTTTAAAGCGTATATACTTCACTGTTACCAAGGTCTCCCTCAAAACTAAATCTTTGATTAGCATTTAATCGTGGTATATCTAGATCTTTAAAACATCATGGTATCATCATAATTTGACTTCATTTTGAATGTGATCATTATCATGAATCTGTGTACCATCATTTCTTTCCAATTCAATAAAGGAATAATATAAAAAATTCCTATTTTGTTGGTTTTTGACCCCTTTCTTTCCACTTTGCTTTAGACCTTATAAACATGCCCTTTATTCCTAGTTTTTTTTTTATTATTGATTACTACAGTATGTTAATTTCAGTTGTTTCGCATTTACTTGCTACCAATTCCTTGATTGTTTTTTAAACTAGCTGCAATAGTTACAAATTAACCTCCGAATATGGCTTCTCCATTAGTGAGAAGCCAGGGCAAGCCCGCGTACGCCGGTGGGCCTGCGCTGAACAATTTTTATGGGCTCCTGCTGCTCCAGAGCCAGAGCCTGTTCAACAAATACTCGCACAGGTGTCAGTTCCCAGGAAGTGCCAAAGAAAGGTAGGTTTAGTTTGACATGAGGTACAGTCCTGAGAGGAAGACAGTCTCTGTCATGAAATGATTGGAAGAAATGTGTATTAAACCAGGATAGATGACAAATGAAATGGAGTAAGCTAGAAATAACACAAAGTAAGAGAAAGATGGCCCAAGACCCACAATTGTAAGATGCCAGAATATCCTTGCTTTTCTAGGTTTATAGGCCCACAAATGGTTAACCCTTGTTAAATTTAGGATTGCCTATAACACTTATTTGAATTGTTAATGGTTTCTTTATTTTTTATTTTTATACAGATATGCTGTTCATCTATGAGATGGCATGGATATTAAATGGTAAGCAACTTCAACATCTTCACTTAATTTAATGATCTATACACTGATAAGAAAGTATAATACATACTCCAAGTATTGAAATACACGCCATCGTGTTGGGATTCAATATTTCGACATTAATTATGTCATCATCAGGAATGTTAATAAGTTAATAGTGATGCCCACAAACTCCAGTTGGACAAATTAATAAAGTTAACAAAATAAATTGTAGTAATTAAAAAATCTTTATAAATTAGAATAAATAATTATATTAACTATACACTTATTAACACTAAAATTAAACCATCTGAGGAAAGCACAGATGTATATTGATTGCATGTAGTGAGGTGTTTATTCTTAGGCAGTTGTTATATTTTGTGTTTGTGTATGTGGAAATAAATGTCATAGAAAAGGGTTGTTTTTTGATATCATTGCAGCAATATGGAAGATTGTTGAGAAGATATTGTCTGAGGAAGCAAAGAGCCACATCAAGTTCATTCGTAAGGGTGATGTAAAAACTTACATTGAGGGCACCACACTTCCAAGTCACATGGGTGGAACAGTACGATTGTCTAATTTATTACGTAATTATAAATGTTTAAGGTTGTATCATTAGCACAACTGAGGGAAAAATGACTGACAAAAACAGTATAAAAGTTATAAAATGGTAAAGGTATCATTTAAATTTGGCATTCCCTTATTAAGTTAATGGAGTTTGAACATACAGCTGTTTAAAGAACAGGTATTTGAGAAATGTAGTTGTGCATGGCTTTCATTTTTGTTTTTGTGTTACAAGATAAAACAGTATGCTACCCCCACTTAAATTTGTAAAATAATGGTTTTGTTTTCGTACTTATGTATGACAAAGTGTCCTTGGTGACCTAATTACGATTCCATTGAGGTTCCTAATAACAGCCTTAAGTCACAGTCACACTGGATTTTTTTCAGTAAAACTAACCAAGACACTGGTTAATGTAGTTAACAGTATATCATAATTAATCCATGGGAACAGTTGAGGAAACCAGTTGCGGATCTAGGATTTAGGAATGGGGAGGGGGGTGGATAATGGGAGGTGAGAAGGACCACGCAGGGATAGGGGGGTTGTTTTTGGAAAGGGCGTCCCCTCCCATTTAAGATTTTTTTTGGAATTAGTAGGCTGCTACACTAACTTAGATGGCATCTGAAAAGAAGTAAGCTTAAAATAGAAAGTGTATGCTTTACCAGAGTACACGAGAAGCACACACACAAGACGAGTGACCATTATTTTTTTTTCACGGTAAACGAAGTGGGGTATCTAGCCACCCTATTCACCCCCCTAGATCCACAGCTGGGAAACTTACCGAGACAGTTTATCCAAGTGATTTGTGCCCAGTTAAAACTGAGCAGGTGAGTTTTACTGAGCTGAGAAGTCCAATGCGAACATAGATTAAACTGCAAGTGTCTATCGTGCGCTAATGGAGATGTCACTGAAATTAGCGCCCTCAATAGTTGATTTTCACTGCTTCGTTAGTTTTACCATTTCCCGCAGTATAAAATAACCAATTTAAAAAAAAACCCAATTGTGGACAGCGGTAAGATTTACCCATTGAAATGTCATCCACGGTCTCGGTATAAGTCCAGTTAACTCCTGTGCAATAATAAAAATAACATCTTTTATTGTTATCACAGTACCTTTACTGTTGTTTTGCTAGAAAATTAACTTGATTAACAGATATTATGGAATTTTATATTCAACAGGATAATTTTAAGTGGGTTTATACACCAAAGAGCACTGAGGAAGAGGAATTTCAGTCAATTCTATACTCAGAAGATATGCAAGAATTAGATGTGACTGATAGTGATAGAAACACCATACAAACAGACCCACTGACCAATGAAAGACATAGTGCAGAACCATTAACTAATGGGATGGATTCTAGCGAATTACCCACCAATGTTATTGATCATACCCTGTCAACTAACAATAAAAGTCGCAACCAAGAAACCCCTACTCTAGGAGGTGCTCCAGAAGAAAATTGTACCATACATTCACCACCAGCCAATGATATGCAAAACCAGTCACCAACAAAAAGAACCAGCTCTAGTCTTTCAGCTAACACTCACAATGTTGTTAATGATGATTTCCAGGTTGCCACACCATTAGCTTCTGACCAAAGCCAACAAAATGTGAAGCAAAAAATAAGGCTTAAAAATGGCATCATTCAAGAGCGACCAAAGAAAGTGAGTTTGAGACAAACACTCGGGGTTCATTAAAAACAACAACAACATGATGTAATATTGTAAATCATTATTTTATGATGGGCTTTGATGATGAAAACATCTTTTCACTTTAATTATAAGAGGTTTGCCATTCCAAAACCAGCGTAATGTTGTCGCTAAGTGTTAAACTGAGTACTTAGCTATTGAATGTGGCAGTGTTGTATACGTTAGCTATTGAATGTGGCAGTGTTGTATACGTTAGCTATTGAATGTGGCAGTGTTGTATACGTTAGCTATTGAATGTGGCAGTGTTGTATACGTTAGCTATTGAATGTGGCAGTGTTGTATACGTTGGTTTTGCAGGCAAGACTCTTTTTATACCTTGTTTTGCAAATCCGCTGGCAGCCAATAATGATGATTTTGAAGAAAAATAGAATTTTATTTTTGGCCAATTAGCACAAACGCCGCCACGAAAAATTTAAAATTTCAGGAAGAAATTTCAGAAAGAAATAAAAGTTTTTCTTTAATTTTTATTACTTCCGCCGCTGCCTTAAAATCGCCAAAAATAAGATATGTATATTTCTGCTAATAATATATAAATTTAAAGCCAAAAAAAGGGTAGGATTAGGGAAGAGAAAGAGGAAGAAGTGGAGGAGGAGGAAGAGGAGGAAGAGAAAGAAGTGGAGGAAGAAGATGGTTATGGTGAGGGTTAATGAACCCTAGGAGAATGTGTAAGAGTTGTCTGACTGGGAGTCTGACAGTTTCCAGCAAGAACCGTAGGGTGAAGCCCTGGTGGGGATTCATGTGCTAAGCCTCCTGCTGCTTAATGAATCCGGCAATTTGTAAGCCATTTTTAGCTCAGAGATAATAAATGTATTTTACCAAAAAAGTTATTTAGAAAATTAGAAAAAAATTTTTCTTGCTTTAGTCTGATGAGTTGTGTCCTATGGGAGCTGGCCTGTGCAATGGGATATTGAATATATTTTTTAATGATTTGTAGGTTCAATTTGTAGAAAGTGAGGCAGAAGAATTGAAAAGAAAACAGGTGGATGGAAGAAACAAAAATGTAAGTATCTATCAATACTGATAAAAATAAAAAAAATATGCTACATGTTCTAATAAAAACAGGCCAAAGAAAAAAAATGTTTTTTATGTAATTATATTTAATAATTAATTAGCTTTAGAATGATATTTAACTTACCAGATTTGTTGGTTTTCTTTAATAATGAGCAGTCAAAAGTGAGAAAGTGAGGTACAGTATCAATATAGTACAATTAGGAAAATAAAATGGAATAATTTCTTTTTTCCAAACCAAAAAATTGAAAATTTGGATGGTAAAAATTACCTTGACAGTTTCGCTGTTCTTTACACGAGCAGTTTTTTGAGAAGAATGACGATCCGCAACTAAACAGACTGACCTCTAGAGGGCCAGTTCTGTTCAATTGAGGGTCATACACGTGACTTAGTTGGTGTGCGCATTCATCTTGGGTGATGGTTTTTCGTCCTCATCTTCAGATCCAAATGCCCTCCTGATGACGTCTGTTGTAGGTGTCCGGTTTTCTATCAATGATTTTGGGTTGAGCCCAGTTTATGACGTGGTTAGAGTGGATAGAATGATCTGTGATGGCTGATTTACTAGATTCTCGTCCATAGTCACAATGGAATTCATACGGTCAAACAGTGTTCTTACTATGCCTAATTTTTTATGTACAGGATTTTGGACTCAAAATGTAGGTATTGATCCATATGAGTTTTTTGTAGACGAGGAGTTTAACAGTTCCATCAGGTTGATGCATAATAAGAGAAACAAGGAAAGGTATATTGTTTTATTGTTCTTTTTCATATGTGAATTCACATATTTTTTTTATAATTTTATGTTAATAAAATTCTATTTTATCTGGGTCAGATGAATTGGGATGTTGTGTTAGGTTATCAACTTGATGTTGTTTGATTATTTCAAGGACATCATCCACATAGCGTTTCCATAAACGGGGTCTAAATTCTAGTAGTGCAGATGCGATAGCTTTTTGTTCTAGGAACTCTAAATATAAGTTCGCTACAATGGGAGAGACTCTGCTTCCCGTAGCTACTCCAAATTTTTGTTGGTAAATAGTGCCTCTAAATGTGAAATAGGTGGTGGTTAAGACAAACTCTAATAATTCTATTCTTTAAATCCTTATCCTCTTCTAGCCTTGATTTTATTACGGATAATGAATCCTCTAATGGGATGTTTGTAAACAAAGATACTACATCATGTGAGTTGAAAGTTTCATCTTCCTCTATCATAATTTCAGCTATTTGTTGAGCTAAATGTTTGGAATTTTTTATATGATGTTGTTTGCCTCCTACTAAGAGGGAAAGAATATCAGCAATAGCCTTTTTTATATTTCATATGGATCCAGTATAGTCCACTATGGGTGTAAACTTTTTTGCTTCCTTATGTATCTCAGGAGTAGCATAAATACGAGGGATGATTTCTACTGTAGGGAATAAGTCGTCACACTGTCGGCTAGTGATTAAGTTTTGTTTATTTAAATTAGTAAGAATGGATACTAACTTACTTTTACAACGATGAGTGGGATCTCACTTTAAGACTTTAATAGGATTTTTGGTCACTTCACATACATGACCCTGTAATTAAACAGAATCAGTCCTCTAGAGGTCAGTCTGTTTAGTTACAGATTGTCATTCTTCTGAAGAGCTGCTCGTGTTAAAGAAAAGCGAAACTGTCGAGGTACTTTTTACCATTCAAGGATTTCAATTTTTTTGTTTGGAAAAAAGAAAATATTATATCTTATCATTACTACAAACCAGATGAACGTCTACAATCAATTAGGAAAACAGCTTCAATCGTCAGTATGCGTGCACATGTTGCACAGGTCACACTTGACTGCACTCCCCAACTGACAAGTTAATCGTTTTCTTTTCCCAAATGTTAACTGCCGACTTTGTCCATGTTTAGTCGCACATGCCACATATATAGATTTCTCCATCCTGACATACTTTTTGATGCAAGTATGGCTTAGTGACTAACCATCAGCTCTTGCATTGTAAGTTTAAATGCTAGAGTGCTGTTGTCATGATGCTTTTGTCCAATGATGGATTTTTATATTTTTTGCTTCCTCACTTGACAGTTCCTAATCAAACAAATATTAAACAATGATAGTAATGCTTCCATATCTTAATAATTAATAATAATTAATAATTTTGTGTTTTTCTCTCATCAGTTGCGGTTGTTGAGACGAGTTAGAACAAAAGATTCACATGTGGGACCTCTTCTCACTATAATGTAGGTGATATTAACATATAATATGATTTTATTCATATGAGATAATCCAGAAACAGCAAGCACAATAATGCAATTATATAAATTGAAATGGAACATAAGAGGAATCTGACATTGACAAAGAAAGAAAAGAAAACTCAGTTGCCACCGGGACTCGAACCCGGAACCTTTCGAATACATGACGAATGTCTTAACCACTGGACCAGGAAGGTGTTGTGGTCAATCAAGCGTTAGAAGAATTTGAGTTTTTTCATTCTTTGAACATGTCTGAGATCACAATTTTGATATAGCATTAATATCACATGTGACTAGTGATGTATAAGATACGCCCACTGTGTTGTAGAGACCATTTCATGTTTTTGCCCAAAAACATGACTTGTTTCAAAGGTCATGCAGGTCAAAGTCCCATAATTTTGTGTTTTACCACCATGCCAAAGGGCAAATTTGTATCCGCTGTGGTAAGTTGTAACATCGTTTCACCTTAGGGACCGGACTATTTATGCTAGTGTTGGTATACCAGTTTAGCCGCATTTGATAAGAAAACTGACATTGTAATTGTTGTTTTAGGTTCAAATCCCACTTAGATTATGTTTGTGTTTTAGAAACATGCAAAACCATTGCCACCACAGCACAGATTTTATTTCAAATTTAATTTGATAGAGCAAATTAAAATTGTACCATATAGAACTCAATATTTGATATTGTGATGTTTATAAACAGACTGTCGCAAAGAAAGGTGAGTGCAAATGAGACTATGCAACCATCAACATCAGACTTGACTAGCTAGTAGCTGTGACAGCAAGAAAGACGAGTTGTGCACTTAAGTTGCAAAGAGAAAATGTGAACAAATAGCATCCTCAATTCCCAAGGTTACTAGATTTTACATGGTTGGGATTAATACATTTGTGAAATGATTAAAATATTTTGAGACACCAAGGTTGTTACTGTTTGTTACCAATTGTTACAAGTTGAAGCTTTTCGGTTTGTGTGAAATGTTTATATATAACAGAACATGAAGAAATATACGTATTATATATATTTTATGAGAAAAAGAAAGTTGGTTTTTCCTTCTTAACAACCCATCTGAAAAATTTCTGATTATATTTAGGTTGTTTTTGTCTTTTATAGACCTGGAGAACAACTTGAATTTTCGTTTGATTCAACCAAGACTGATGAATCAACTTCTGAACTTTACTCTAGAATTACACTGCAAAACACAACAGTTAACACAGTAGCATACAAGGTACTTATGATAAGAATTATTTGTTTAATATTTTATTGTGATAATTATGTGCGAGCATACTGTTTTCTTTCGATGCCTGTTAATAATAACAACAATAATAACATAGGGATTTTTACTGCACGTTTTGCCAAGGGTTGCAAGTGCTGGCAATGTATTTTATTAATACCACTGGTCATTGAATCAGTAATTTGCATGGGCGGCGGAACCGGGGGGGCCGGGGGGGCCCGGGCCCCCCACTTTTTGGCGAAAAATATATATAATGTCTGGAGAACTTTGTATGATCGGAAATGCAAAAAAAGGAGGGAAGAAGGAGAAGGATGGGAAAGAGAATGTTTATCCAGTACCCGACCGAGTTACATTTTCTCGCAATTCACATTGGCGGATC